CCTTGGTGCTCACAGTCCCCCTGTGGTACTTGCTGGACCGGACTGGGACTGACTGGACCTTCCGCTGACTGAATGTGGTCTCACCGCTATCCTACCGACGTTGTACTGCTGTTGCACTGCGGTTTAGTCCACCACTTGGCTCACCACTTGCCTCACCACTTTACCACTTGCCCACTTGCCTACCTTCTAGAAGGTTTACAGCTAAGCTTCCGGAACTCACTAAGACTCCTACGCTATAGACCTACAGATCGAACCCCTGCTGCCTATGGACCTACGACAGGCCTACCAACTGCCTACGAATACACAGGTCACAGGTTCAATTCTCGGGGTCTACACAGATACTGTACATGGGTAGGGTGAGGTCTAGGGATCGAACCATGGGTACTGCATCCGCTACTGCTAAAAGGTGAAAACCGTTTCACTCCCGCCGTCCTAAATTCGAGGTCCTCCGGGAACATTTCAGTCCCAGGCGGGACCTTTACCTTTCTTGTCACGTTCATAGGATCTGACTATGTCGGGAGCGGTTTCTAGAAGTTCTGTTTTCGTGAACCAGCGGTCGTCTTCCGGTTCCTGATAGGCAAGACGGACCTTATATTGTTCCTGGGGACGACCTCTACCTCCTGTTCTGAACACATCCTCATCTACAATGCCTTCAATGTCATAACTTCCATCCATATCCGGGGGGATCATGGATCTTCTCGAAGGGAACTGTTGACTTGTGACACACAGGAGCAGCTTTGAAGCATGAAACACGGGGTATGTGTGGAGGTGTGCTGGAATCTCAATGTTATAGGACGCTCCATCCTCTCCGCCCTTGACTTCTAGAACCGGCCACGGTCCTCTATATGCGGGCAGTAACTTTTGCGAGATGTTTTCCTCAGGTGCAAACTCTTTAGCCTTGACCCAGACTAAGTCGCCTACCTGAAACTGCGACGGGCGGCGGTGCTAATTAGCTTGTTCTATCATCTTATGTTGGGCCTTCCTGAGGTTTTCAACAACAGTTGCTGGTTCTTTCTCGTGCTGTATCGCAAACTCCCTGGTGTCAGGCGCTAATCTGTGAATCTGATCCCGGTTCAGTCCTTCGAACGGTCTGCACGATCTAAAGGACTTGTGCAACTCATTGGGAGTGCGGCAGGTGGATAGATGCACGCTGTTGTTGTATGCACTAGCGACCTTGGGCAGCATTTCATCCCAGTTGATCTGATCTGGTCTAATATACATGCGCAGAACTTGTTGTAGGATCTTGTTCATCTGTTCTGTCTGACTGTTAGTCTCTGGGTGACGGTCGGACGACATTAACAACTTAGATCCGTAGACTCTCATGAGTTCTTGCCAGTTCTGGCTGGTGAAACGACTATCTCTATCACTAACTATTGACAATGGGATTCCATTCTCACTAACCCAAAAGTCAAAGAACTTCTGTATTACTAAATCTGTACGTGCCTCTGTAGGCAAAGGAACAAAAACTGCATACTTACTAGAACGGTCGACTATGACCATGACTTGGCTCTTACCATGTTTGCTGTTGACTTGCGTGTCCATGAAGTCTATRGACACTGAGTCTCCCGGCTGATCCGGAAAAGGCAAGGGTCTGAGAAGACCTAGGGGCGCGCGTGTAGTAGATTTGTTCCTCTGGCATACTTTACAACTGCGGACATACTCTATGCAGTCGTTCTTCATCCCTGGCCATGTGTACGCACGCATCAGATTGGCTAACGTCTTTTGCCAACCGAAGTGTCCCTCGGTATCGTGACATTCCCCTAGAATCAGACTACGAATCTCTTCGCTATTGGGAACGCACAGGCGGTCAAACACATTAGTCTTCTCAAACAGCAACCCGTCTGTAGTGCGGTAATCTGGTTCGGTCTCTGGGGCCTCTCTAACTCTCTTTAGGAGGTCACTGTAGATAGGGTCTTGCATATACGCTTGTCTCACTTTCTCCTGCAGGTCTCTCCCTATATCCAGATAGTGTACTACGGCTCCAAAGTAGTCTGATCTCCTACTCAGAGCATCCACAACTACGTTGTATTTGCCCTTCACTGGCTTGAGCTCAAAGTCGAATTGGTCTATCTCTACAGCCCACCTAGTCAACTTAGGTGTCATCTTGGCCTGTGTCTTTAACCAACGAAGTGTCTCGTGGTCAGAATACACTTTGAAGTGCCTCCCAAGC